ATATTATATATATAAATTATGATCCTGACAATTACCATCGATCCAGTTATTATGTTACTGGACATTTCCATAGAAATATCAGAATATGTCTACAGTTTCAAATTATAATTAGATTGAAAATATCTTCTAAATTGATAAATATTTTTTGGATCTTGTGATGTGATGTTTAATACAATAGATCTTGTTTATTGTCAAGTAACAAGTTGTTATAAATAAATAAACTACAACAATCTTGTATATAATCATTTTAATATAAACTTGTATATATTTTACCTGGGCTCCGTTTTTCAAAACTTTTACTTTCAGCAAATTTGTCTGAGGGTAAATTATACTTGAGAGAAATCAAACTTGTAGCCAAATTTGACAGTAAAATTATTTGAGATGACAAAATAAAAAGCTATTCTGTTTTCTTGAGAAACTAAACATTCAGATTAAATATTAGTATATTTTGAAGAAACAGAGCCCAGAATATAGAAATGTATATATTGTAAATAGAAATAGAGAGATTCCAAATTCTTCTTTTTAATCCAAATTTATTACAACTGGAAAATATTGTCAGGAACCATCCAAGAGCAGAATCAGAACCTTAAAGTTTTTGTTGAGTTTGTCCTATATTTTATATAACATCCTTATAAGGACAGCTGGTTTGAAAATAAGATAAAAGTTCTGATATTTGGGTATATGATCAACATAAACCAACTCAATAGTTTAAAAATATTCTCTAAACTTTTTCAGTGGATAAGATTTCAACTTTTCCATGTTATTACTTGAACAAGTTAGAAACTTAATTATCTTAAAATGAGTCAAAAATCAATTAAAATTTGATGTCTTCTGTTAATAAAGATAAATTTAGATTAAAAGTAAGAATTTTGAATCTAACAGACTAAGTCATACGAAAACGACCTCAGAATATAAAACAAAGTTAGTGAAATGAAATACAGATTTATATTGCTGTTTATACTGGATCAGGATTGAGAAGAAGTTATTTTAACTAGTGTATATTTACCAGGGAAACTTCTATAACTGTCAAATTGAGCTTTATTAAGATGTCACCATTTAAAATACCATTGATGTTTTCCAGTGACATTACACCAGAAATATTTCACATCACTCTCCAAAAATCAAACAGAAACTGGGATTATAATATTGTTATCTGATCAAGTTATCTGTAATAAATAGGAACCACAGAAATGTGACAGAGAATCAAAATAATACAACAGATTCATTTGTGGTTCCATTATTTCAATGGCTCGGCTGAAATCAGAATTGTACAAATACCAGCTAAATGTGACCCTGATATATACATACAAGGTTATATATCCTCTTTTCAATCCTTTTACTGATAAATATCTGATAATTTACTGATAAATATCTGATAATTTATGTTATTTTACCTCATGATAGACACATAATACTTAAAACTAACATAGGGCTCTATACTTAGAACTAACATAGGGCTCTATACTTAAAACTAACATAGGGCTCTATACTTAGAACTAACATAGGGCTCTATACTTAAAACTAACATAGGGCTCTATACTTAGAACTAACATAGGGCTCTATACTTAGAACTGACATAGGGCTCTATACTTAGAACTAACATAGGGCTCTATACTTAAAACTAACATAGGGCATTATACTAAGTGGATAAGATTGCCATCTAAAAATATTTTCTTTCTGATTTCTTTACCCTTTTCTGATTCAACTGATGTAGTTTTCTTAATATTTACTCTATATAAAGAATCACCTGTTTTGAAGCTACCTGTATCACTTTTTCAAAATTAAAGTCTGAGATACTGTTTATGGTATACAGTAATAATGAAAGAAAGTGGTGTTGATTAAGGAAGAAGTATTCAGAATGTAAGTTTTGAAGTCAAATATATTAGTCTATATTAGAATTGTTAAACCTTAATTTGCTCATCACAATACTGCAGCAATATTAGTTTTTATTGGTAGCTTATAAACATGGAGGGAAGTCCACTTGTTCCTTGCCTTTCCTAAACTTGATTGTGTAATGATGGGCAGTGTGCAATGAGGGAAATTTTGGCTGTACAGTGACTAACCTCTTTTTTTCTCCTACTGAGAGGTTTTTAATATGCGTTTAGTATTTGAAGCCAAATTTATTCGTTGTTGAAGGCTTAAAATTTTCTTTCAAACATATACAATTGAATGGTTTAAAAGTTTATACTGAAACAATGTTGAGGAACTGCTCTTCAATAAAAAAAACTTTTAGACAAAAAATGTTACAAACAAAAAACAAAAAAATCTGATATGTTTATGAGCTACCAATAAAATATCATATGTTTTTTTTTATGAATATAGAAATATTTAGTCTCTTTTATTTTCTAATTTATGATATTTTCTATTTCACCTAATTTCTATTTTTATACAGAAACTTAATTGATATAGTTGTCTAGCTATTTGTTTTATCAGTTGATAAAGGGATGTGGTTGTCTAGACAATGTTTTATCAGTTGATAAAGGGATGTGGTTGTCTAGACAATGTTTTATCAGCTGATAAAGGGATGTGGTTGTCTAGACAATGTTTTATCAGTTGATAAAGGGGTGTGATTGTCTAGACAATGTTTTATCAGTTGATAAAGGGATGTGGTTGTCTAGACAATGTTTTATCAGTTGATAAAGGGATGTGGTTGTCTAGACAATGTTTTATCAGTTGATAAAGGGATGTGGTTGTCTAGACAATGTTTTATCAGTTGATAAAGGGATGTAGTTGTCTAGACAATGTTTTATCAGTTGATAAAGGGATGTAGTTGTCTAGACAATGTTTTATCAGTTGATAAAGGGATGTGGTTGTCTAGACAATGTTTTATCAGTTGATAAAGGGATGTGGTTGTCTAGACAATGTTTTATCAGTTGATATAGCTACTAATTAGATGATTATATAAGTTCTACTAAAGTATATTTAAGGGAAGAAATACTTTGTTTTGGTTATTGAAGTCGTTACACCTCCACCTTTAGCTGTATCAAATAATATTTTTTTCTCGAGGGTCAGAGGTAACATAATCTGGTTGATTTAGTCATTAGATCTTTACTCTTTCAAATGTCCCTTTTCGAGGCCTCAAAATCAGTCAAAAATCTTAAGTCAGTAGTGATATAATATTAGTCTAGTAACTGAAGTGTAAGATTCGAACTGACTCTTTACCCTTCAGTGCTCAAAATACAAGACTCTGTGAGTGAGTTTAGTTTGACCCACCGACTTTGTTTATTGTTAATAGTAGAGAATTCTCAAAACATCCCACCTATACTGAACAAGCCAACATGGAAACCCTTACTGTAAAATTCAGGAACACTTTCAGAGAAAACAACATACGAGGTAGTAAATATCCATCAAATTTTTATATATGTCAGTATATGAGGTTTAATATTTTATTAAAGTAAGAATTGTTAGTGCTGTAAAAAAAGAGAACTGTCAGATGTTCAGACAAATCTAAACTCAATCTTCATTTATTTTATTAGAGAGAGAAAGTATTAGAGTATCAGAGAGAGAATAAAAAGAGTAAAAGTAGGTCTTGTTTCAAACATTTCTTTCTTCTGTTTCCTAAAAAACACTTTGTCAAGGGTATATTTACTATATATATTGTGTTTTGTAAATATTATATGAACAGTGTTTGATATGAACAGTGTTTGATATGAACAATGTTTGATTTAAACAGTGTTTGATATGAACAGTGTTTGATATGAATGGTGTTTGATATAAACAGTGTTTGATTTAAACAGTGTTTGATTTAAACAGTGTTTGATATGAACAGTGTTTGATTTAAACAGTGTTTGATATGAACAGTGTTTGATATGAACAGTGTTTGATTTAAACAGTGTTTGATATGAACAGTGTTTGATATGAATGGTGTTTGATATAAACAGTGTTTGATTTAAACAGTGTTTGATTTAAACAGTGTTTGATATGAACAGTGTTTGATTTAAACAGTGTTTGATATGAACAGTGTTTGATATGAACAGTGTTTGATTTGAACAGTGTTTGATTTGAACCGGGTTATGATTTAAACAGCATTGGATACCAACAGTGTTTGATTTAAACAGTATTTGATATGAACAGTGTTTGATATGAACAGTGTTTGAAAGTATATAGAACGGTACCAGGTTGTCCAGTAAACTAAAATGTCAAAAAATGATGAAAAAATAAAATATATTATAAAAAAAACAAAGTATTGTACTGTTTGTAATGTAGCACCAAACCCTTGGGTAGTTTAGATGATCAGTTGCATTTCTATCAGGGGGGAGGGACAGGGGGGCGGGGTCATGTTCTGATATGTAATAAAGAAATATGGTTGTAACTATCAGAGGTGATAAGAAGGACATCAAATAATTCAACTAAAGAATGACGACTGTGAAAGAAAGACAGAAAATGAACAGAGAACTTGGAAAACCAGAAAAAAAGTCAACAACAACTGAGACATTGGAAATGTTACAGAAATCATGGACGTATCATAGATATTTCTATCAATAGAAACTAGAAAAAGATTTTAAATAGAGAACTGCTTGGAATAGCAGAATTAATATAACTATTATAGAAGTAATCTACAATATTCTATGGTACAGTTTCAGATGAATAGATTCCAGGTTCTAACTGAATTAACCTCTCTCTATTATTCTACCATCAATTCATTCAACTTTGTATCAACTTGTATAATTTCTACTTTTTATATCATCAAATTCTCTTCCGTTTGTTGATGCTGATAATGAAATTCTCATCGTCTTTAGAAGAAGTAGATCAATATAGGAATTACTGTAATTATTTTCAATATTAATTTATCATTAATTCATACAGATTCAGTTGTTAAGATAGAGTGTAGGATGATATTTGTTTCAGGTAGTCCTCTCTGTTACAGCATTTTAGATGAGGCTTGTAATTTCATTCAAATTTTGGAATATTTTAATTATTTACGTTGTAAAAATAAGACTTTAGACCGTGTAATTTGTACACCGTTGGCTAATTACTGCATTTCTAGCCCACTACATATATATATAGTGTTTTATTCTTTATACAATCCAAATTCAAATATACCGACCTATAACTTATTACTAGCTTGTTGTTTGACTGTACTACTCCCTCGGGGCCTGTCACGATTCCTGAATATTAAAACCAATATAATCAGTGATGGCCTGCAACTACATGTTTATAATCAGATATAATTAGAGACGGGAATCGTAGGCAAGTTGAATCATCACCAACATCAAAGACGCAATCAAACCAACTACTTGTTTTATAGATGACAAATCTTTTGATCTTCACCGACGTAATTTAACGCTACCGATTGGGAAATTAAACGATAGAAAAAAATCTAAATCAATTTGGTGAGATTCTGTATTAAAAATTCCCCAAATTTTTTATTTTTTGGTGCAATTCTGTAATATTGTATTAAAATGTCTATCATTTGTCTTTAAGATTCAAGATATTAAACTTTAAATAGATAAACAGTTTACACACCCCTAGAAATTTAAATTCCTCTATCTAAATTATATTTTCATTTTTCACCAATCTGCAGACAAGACAAAATTATCTTGATTTATCTTCCTTGACATAAATCGATGTCGTTATATTGATGTTAGTCGACATGGCCATTTTGAATTTAGTCGACATGGCCATTTTGAATTAAGTCGACATGGCCATTTTGAATTTAGTCGACATGGCCATTTTGAATTTAGTCGACATGGCCATTTTGAATTAAGTCGACATGGCCATTTTGAATTTAGTCGACATGGCCATTTTGAATTTAGTAGACATGGCCATTTTGAATTAAGTCGACATGGCCATTTTGAATTTAGTAGACATGGCCATTTAGAATTAAGTCGACATTGCCATTTTGAATTTAGTAGACATGGCCATTTTGAATTAAGTCGACATGGCCATTTTGAATTTAGTCGACATGGCCATTTTGAATTTAGTCGACATGGCCATTTTGAATTAAGTCGACATGGCCATTTTGAATTTAGTCGACATGGCCATTTTGAATTTAGTCGACATGGCCATTTTGAATTAAGTCGACATGTCCATTTTGAATTTAGTCGACATGGTTATTTTGAATTTAGTCCACATGGCCATTTTGAATTTAGTCGACATGGCCATTTTGAATTTAGTCGACATGGCCATTTTGAATTAAGTCGACATGGCCATTTTGAATTTAGTAGACATGGCCATTTTGAATTTAGTCGACATGGCCAATTTGAATTTAGTAGACATGGCCATTTTGAATTAAGTCGACATGGCCATTTTGAATTTAGTCGACATGGTTATTTTGAATTTAGTAGACATGGCCATTTTGAATTAAGTCGACATGGCCATTTTGAATTTAGTAGACATGGCCATTTTGAATTAAGTCGACATGGCCATTTTGAATTTAGTCGACGTGGCAATTTAGAATTAAGTCGACATTGCCATTTTGAATTTAGTAGACATGGCCATTTTGAATTAAGTCGACATGGCCATTTTGAATTTAGTCTACATGGCAATTTTGAATTTAGTTGACATGGAAATTTTGCCTTTAATCTAAATCAACATAGTGACGTTAGTAAACCATTCAGTAGTCACCATTTTGTCACTATATTGATTTTAGTTGACTTCGCAAATTTGACATTAATCGACATCGCTATATTGACATTAGGTGACTTCAACATTTTGTTGTTAGTGGACATGGCCACTGTGATGTAAGTCGACGTGGACGTCGCTATATGTACCTTAGGTGACGTCGCCATTTTGACGTTAGTTAACGTTGCCATATTGATGTTGAAGTTGACGTCGCTATATGTACCTTAGGGGACGTCGCCATTTTGACGTTAGTAAACGTCGCCATTTTGACGTTAGTCGACGTTGCTATATGTACGTACGTACGTCACCTAATGTACGACGTCGACTTACATTGAAATGGCGTTGCTAAATTAAGGTAAGTTTACTTCGCTCTTTGACGTTAGTGGAAGTCGAACGTTAGGTGACGTCATCGTTTTGATGTTAGATAACGTCGCCATTTTGACGCTAGTTGACGTCGCCATTTTGACGTTAGTCGACGTTGCTTTATGTACGATAGACGACATCTCCATTTTGACGTTAGTTTAAAGTCGCAAGTGACGTCGCCATTTTGACGTAAATCGACGTCGCCAATTTGACGTAAGTCGGCGTCGAACGTTAGTTGACGTCGCTATATTGACGTTAGTTGACGTAGCCATATTAACGTTAGTCGAGGTCGCCATAATAACGTTAGCCTACGTCGCCATTTTCGCTATATTAACGTTAGGTGACTCCGAAGTTGACGACATCGCTATATGTACGTTAGGTAAGTCGACATCACCATTTTGACGTTAGTTAACGTCGTCATATTGTCGTTATCGGCGTTGTCATTGTGAAGTTGACGTTGAACGTTAGGTGACGTCGCCATTTTGACAGTTAGTCGACGTTGCTATATGTACTTAAGTTAACGTTGCCATATTGATGTTAGTCGATGTTGCAATTTTCACGTAAGTCGACGTCAAACGTTAGGTGACGTCGCCATTTTGACGTTAGTCGACGTTGCCATATTGACATTAGTTTACGTTGCTATATGTACATAAGACGAAGTCGTCATTTTTACGTTAGTCGACGTCGCCATTTTCACGTAAGTCGACGTCGTCATTTTGACGTTAGGTTACTTAGCAATTTTGACGTTAGGTGCATCGCCATTTTGACAGAAGTCGACGTCGCCATATTGACGTTAGGTGACGTCACCATTATGACCGAAGTCGACGTCGCCATATTGACGTTAGTTGACGTCGACATTGTGACGTAAGATGACGTTGTCATTTTGACGTTAGATGACGTCGCCTTTTTCACGGTAGTCGACGTCGCAATTATGACGTAAGTCGACGTCGTCATTTTGACATTAGGTTACTTAGCAATTTTGACGTTAGGTGCATTACCATTTTGACAGAAGTCGACGTCGCCATATTGACGTTGGGTGACGTCACCATTTTGACTGAAGTCGACGTCGCCATATTGACGTTAGTTGACGTCGCCATTGTGACGTTGGATGACGTCGCCTTTTTGACGTAAGTCGACGTTGCTATATGTACTTTAAGCGATGTGACCATTTTAACCCTAGTTGAAGGTAGCCATTTATACGGTACGTGACGTCGCCAATTTGACGTTAGTCGACGTCGCCATATTGACGTTAGTCGAAGTCGCCATATTGACGTTAATCGACGTCGCCATATTGACGTTAATCGCTATTGTGACGTGAGATGGCGTTGCCATTTGAAGGTTAGATGACGTCCCCATATTCGCGTTAGTCGACGTCGCCTTTTTTACTTTAGTCGACGTTGCTATATGTACGTTAAGCGACGTCACCATGTTACCGTTAGTTGAAGGTCGCCATTTATACGGTAAGTGCCGTCGCTATTTTGACGCTTGTCGACTTTGCCATTTTGACGGTAGTCGACGTCGTTGTATGTACGTTAGGTGACGTCGCCATTTTGACGTTAGATGATGTCGCCATTGTGACGTAAGTTGACGTCGTACGTAAGGTGACGTAACCATATTGACTTTAGTTGAGGTCGCCATTTTGACGTTGGTTGAAGGTGGCCATTTATGCGGTAAGTGATATCACCATTTTGAAGTCGTTATAGGTACGTTAGTTAACGTCGCCATATTGACGTCACCATATTGACGTTAGTGGACGTCGTCATATTGACGTTAGTTGACGTCGCTATTGTGTCGTAAGATGACTTTGCCATTTTGACGTTAGACGACGTCGCCATTGTGACGTAAGTTGACGTTGCCATTTTGACGTTAGATGACGTCGCCATATTCACATTTAGTCGACGTTGCTATTTTGATGTTAGTCGACGTTGCTATATGTACGTTAGGCAATGTCACCATTTTAAAGTTGTGACGT